CCAGCAGCTCCAAACTCACAACAAATAGGGGCTGGCAGGTGGCATAGTGGTTAAGGATGTTGGACTCCCACATGACCACCTGTGGTTTGAGTCCCAGACCTGTCAACTTGCTTTATCACTTTCCTTCGCTCTCTCACTTTCTCTGGACAAATTAAAATAAACAAATAAATAAAGTTAAATGAAATAATTCTTTTTTTTAAAAAACCACAATAAATAACTGTTTTTTTAAGAATTACTTAATTTTGGAACCAGCAGTTAGTGTAACGGCTATGTCACTGGACTCCCACATAGTCGACCATGGTTCAAGTCCCAGACCCAGCAGCATAAACTCACGCCGGTCGCGTGTGTGCGTGCCCAAGATCCCAAGAGGAGAATGGAGGAGAACGGATTGCGGCATGGCCATCCGCCCTGGGGGGGTGATTTCTCGCTTTCTGTCTCTCTGTCTCTCTCTGTCTTTCTGTTTATTTATTTATTTATTTATTTATTTTAATTTGACCAGAGAGGGACAGAGTGAGAGAGAGAGAAAGTGAGAAAGCAATCTGCCAGGTCAAGGACTTGAACCATGGAAGGCCATGTGGGAGTCCAGTGATCTTAATCACCACGCCACCTGCCAGCCGCTCATCCATTTATTTTCATTTGACCAGAAAGAGACACAGAGAGAGAGAGGGAAAGTGAAAAAGCAAGCCACCACGTCTGGGACTCAAACCATGGTCGACCATGTGGGAGTGTCCAGTGCCTTACCACACCACCTGCTGGCCCCTAAATAAATGCTTTGTTTTTTTTTTTTTAATAAAAAATAAGGGACCAGCAGATGGTATAATGGTTATGTCACTGGACTCCCATGTGGGTGACCACAGTTCAAGTCCCAGACCTGGAGGTTAATTCACGCCAAGCACATGTATGTGTGTGCCCAAAATCCCAAGAGAAGAATGGAGGAGAAGGGATTGTGGCATGTCCATCCCACCTGGGGGGTGGTTTATCACTTTCTGTCTGTCTCTATCCCTCTGGCTAGTGCATGCACCCTATAGCAAAGAAAATTTTAAAAATAAAAAATAAGATAAAATAATGGCCCAGTAGATGGTATGGAGTTTCAGGCAGCTGGATCACACATAGACAACTCTGTGATTTGAGTCCTGGACTCGGCACTTTAAGAATCATGCCAGATGCATGTACAAGTGTGCTCAGGATCCTGAGTGGAGAAGGGTACGGTATTGTGGTGTGATATCGCCCTGGGGTGTAATATCTCACTTTTCCTCTCTTTCTCTCTCTCTCTCTCTCTCTCTGACTTTCTCTCTGGAGAGCACATGTGCCCTGTATCAAAAACTAAATGAAAATGAAAGAAAACCAACCAATACATCTTCATTAGTAATCAAAGCAAAGCATGTCAAAGCTTCAGCACTGCTATTTTTGCCTATCACACTGGAAGGACTGGCTGTGAGTGAGACCCATGCCTAGTCTGTAGTGGAGAAGTAGTTGACAAAGTCTTGCTAGAGCGTGGCAGTGTACCCTGAGGAGCTTAGATCCTCTTACCTTCCATGGGTAATTTCATTTTTAAGGATTATCTATTTCCAGAATGAATCTGGAAAGGGCAGATGTTGATCAAAGGGTAAAAGTTTCAGTTAGACTGGATGAATAAATTTTAGTGAACTATTGTACTACATAATGCATATTTCTAAATCGCTAAAGAATAATTTGGGGGGGCTTGTAAGGAGTAGCTTAATCTGAAAAACATGGTGACCTTCAGACATATGCAGAAACGCATTTTTGTGAGCTTCATTTGCATAGCTGTGAAAGCATTAAAATATGAATACGATAACTGCAATAACACCTGAAAACAACTAGCTTTGCATTCCATTTCCTCTTCTTCTATTTTCTGCCCTATGAAATAATAAACTGCAGGCTGGTTCAAGGTCAGAGCTTTCTCTATTAGAGAACTTGGGCCCACCTAGTCCTCGCTTTTCTGTACTTATATGTCTTCATGTGTTTGTTTTTACATTTATTTCTGATTCACAGCCCGCCTACTCAGAAAAACATGTTCAGCCAAGCGGGTCTCAGCAAGGGCCGGCAGGTGGCGTGGTGGTTTGGGAACTGGACTCCCACATGAAAGCCAGCAGTTCAAGTCCCAAACCTGGCAACTTGTTTCTCACTTTCCTTCTCTCTCTCTCTCTGCCTCTCTCTGGTGCTACATTCCCTGTAGCACATTAAATAATAATAATAATTAGTTAATAAAATTAAATAAACAATTCTTAAAAAGAAATAATTTTTAAAGAATTATTTTGTTTAATTTTTAAACTTATTATTTTAAATTTGACCATGGAGAAAGAGGGAGAATAAGAAAGCAAACCATCAGGCCTAGGACTCAAATTGTGATTGGCCATGAGGAAGTCCAGCGCCTTAACTACCACCCACCAGACCTAGGACTCATTTTTAATGTTCTTACCTCAAAATAAAAAGATAAGTTGATGATGTTATGGATATGTCATTTAGCTTTATTGATTCTATGTATAATATATACATAGGTCAAAATATCACATTGTGGGGACCAGCAAGTGGCCTGGTGGTTAAAGTGCTGGAATCCCACATGGTCGACTGCGGTTCAAGTCCAGGACCTGATGGCTTGCTTTCTCATTTTCTCTCTCTTTCTATGTCTGTCTCTGGTGAGTACATGTTCCCTGTAACAGATTTTTAAAATATAATCAAATAAATAATTTTTAAGAGAGATTTTTGCTATTGCATGTGTGCAATTGCCAGAGAGACAGAGAGAAACAGAGAGACAGAAAGCGAGAAATCGCTGAGGGGGGTGGCCATGTCACAATCCCTTCTCCTCCATTCTCCTCTCAGGATCTTGGTCATGCACACACGTGCATCTGGCATGAGTTTTTGGGGTTTTTTTAGAATTATTTATTCAGTTTTATTTATTCATTCATTTATTTTAATTTGACCAGATAGAGACAGAGAGAGAGAAGAAGGAAAGTGGGTAAGCAAGGCACCAGGTCTGGGACTCGAACCGCTGTAAGCCATGTGGGAATGTCCAGCGCCTTAACCACCACACCACCTACTGGTTCTGTCATCTGGTGTGAGTTTTAAGCCACCAGGTGAGGGACTCAAACTGCGGTGGGTTTACGTGGGAGTCCAACAACATAAGGATTATGCCATCTACTGGCCCATAAATAATTTTTAAAAATCATATTGTGACTCATAAATATAATTATGTAAGTAAAATTAATTCATCAAAAATCAAATATACAAATGCTCGTGTATACTATAGAATATATGTAGCACCTCGTTTGCAGTGATCTCATTTGAAACGCTAAAAAATTAATTGGATACAACTCTGACAGCAGAGTAGTGGCTAAATTACGTAAACCCTACGTAAGGTGGCTTCCTCCTTCCTCCGGGAACCCCGGCATCCGGTTTTCTCTGGGTTTCAATCCCCGCCCCGGGGCGGTTGGGACCCTCTCTCTTCAGCCTCCAACTCGTCTACCTCTCTGGGCTCTGCCAGGGCAACTTTAAATCTCCCTTCAGAACCTTGCAGGCCCAGCAGCAAGGCACGGCGACGGGTGGAGGAGGTTGCCATGGAGACAGGTCCAGGGCAAGAGGCTCTACGGGTTGGGCGGGGGGAGCGGGAGCTCGGGCTCCGATTGGCTCAGCAGGCGCGCAGCGTTCTCCCGGCGCACATGCGCAGTGGCGCCGAGGCGAGGTCGCGGCTAAGCGGAGGCGCCCGGGGTTCCCGGCCAGGCTTCCCAGGACCAGACAGGGACAAGCGGCTCCTGGCCGGGACACTTGGTGTTTTCCGGGGAGGGGAGGTGGCGGAGTAGCCTGCGCCTCTGCTGCTCCGGGCTGAGCCCGCCACGCAGGCGCCCGTGACGCCGCCGCCATTGTTGCCCGTGGCCTCCCGGACTGCGGCGCGGCCGCGTCCCCGCGGCAGGTAATGATGTGCGCGAGTGTCCGCGCGGTCGGGGCCGGAGTCCGAGCCTGCGAGTCGCGGGCGCCGGTGGTCGCGGCCCGCGGGGAGGGCGGAGACCGGTGGACGCTGCGGTGTGGGGACAGCCCCAGCGTTGCGTGTCGCGGGGTCCCTGATTTCCCTGCTGCCCCCAACTCTCCGTCTGAGGAGGAGTTAGAGAAACCGTCCTGGAAAGGGAGGCAGGCGAGGCCGGCATGCCGGCCTGTGCAGGGCGTTTGAACGTCGGCCTTGGTGGTCCCTTGGTGGTTGAGCAGGACCCAGCCCGAGTCCAGGGACAGGTGTCCGTTCTCCTCTAGGTCAGGCCAATTCTGAGGTTTTCTTCAGGAATCTTGGTTTCAAGTGTATCCTTAGAGAACTGTCCTGTAGAAGCAGCTCAGGGGCTTCAAATCACACCAACCTCTTCTACTGCTTTACAGTTTGGCTGGCTTATCTTCCCAGCCCTCAGAGGCTGACAAGCTAGGATAGGCTGCAAAGCAGATAATTGGCTCGCCTTTTTCTCTGACAGTTCTCTTGAAAGCCTCAAACACTTTATTAAGAAGAAATTCTCCTAACTTGTCCCAAGTAACTGTAGATTTGCTGTGTTGTTATCGAGGGCCAGTTCAGCCCTTACAGCTTCTGTTAAATCCGAGACTAAAATACTGAAACATTTTCTTTTTTGTAAAATTATTTAAATTATTTTAAAATTTAATTTTGTTGTTATTTTTTTTTTTAGTTTGACCGAAGAGACAGAGAGAGAGAGAAGGGGAAAGTGAGAAAGCAAGCCGCCACATCTGGGACTCGAACCGTGGTTAGCCATGTGGGAGGCCAGCTGCCTTAACCACCACCACACCACCTGCTGGCCCCATTTTTTTTTAATTAAAATTTTTAATATTTATTTCAATAAGTTAAAAGTGTAATCTCTCTCTCCCTTCCCCCACAGGGCAAGGGCACAGGTAGGAGAGAGACAGACCCCTGCAGCAGGGGGATGGCCACACTGTAATCCCTTCCCTTCTCCATTCTCCTCTCAAGATTTTCAAAGCCACCAGGTCCAGGACTAGATCCTAGGATCAACCATGTGGGATCCTGCACCTTAACCACCATGCCACCTGCTGGCTTATAATCTGATATTTTGTTCATGATTCAAGTCATTGCTTCTGTTGCCACCTTTTTATGGCAGGTCCACCTCCTACCACTCCCAATAAGATTGCAGTTCTCTTATAAGTAAAGGTAACAGAGGAAAAAGACAAGGATAAAACTTTTGTGTGTTTATCTGTGCTCACTGGGGAGTCTGTGTGTGTGTGTTTATAGCAGAGTGTACCAGGAATTCTTGACTTTGTGGTCTATTCTTGTGTTTCAGGGTCTCAACCATCCCGGCAAGTTCTGGGCTCAGAATTTGTAACAAAAGCCGCTAACTGTACCTTGGTTCTGTTCTGCCCCTGGCTGTGCAGCCCTTGATATATATCTTTGTGGCTCTAGCATGAGACTTCAAGTATTTGGCTCACTATTAGAGAAATAAAGAATATTGCCAAATTGAGTCTTCTGTCTGTAGCAATGTTAACCTCGAGCAAGAGGATGTCCAGTTCTTCACGGTCCCACATCCTTCTGATGTGGAAGCCAGACAAGGCTCAGAGTGGACTCCATAATGTTGAGAAGGAAATGCATACTTCAAGACTCTTCCGTGACACTGAGACCTGTCGACAGAATTTTAGGAATTTTCCATACCCAGATCTGGCTGGTCCTCGAAAAGCACTGAGTAAACTCCGAGAGCTCTGCCTTAAGTGGCTGAGACCTGAGATTCATTCAAAGGAACAAATCCTGGAGCTGCTGGTGCTGGAGCAATTCCTGACCATCCTGCCTGGGGAGGTTAGAACTTGGGTGAAGTCCCAATATCCAGAAAGCAGTGAGGAAGTGGTGACTCTGGTGGAGGATTTGACTCAAATTCTAGAAGAGGAAGGTGAGAATTATAGAGCAGAGGGAAGGAATCCTGGGTGGTTAGAGAAAACAACTAGCACATCCATAAGCAGCTCCTTTAAAGAAACTGGGGAGAACAAAGGTCAATGCATGAGTGAAAAGCATGGGTTTTTTTGTTTTGTTTTGTTTTGTTTTTTATATTTTTGCTATAGGGCATATGCACTCGCCAGAGAGATGGAGAGAGATAGAAAGCACCCCCAAAGGGGGATGGCCACGACACAATCCCCTCTACTCCATTTTCCTCTGAGAAATTGGGGCATGCTCGCATACATGTCCAGTGTGAGTTTCAAGCGTCACAGTTCCAGGACTCAAACTGTGGTCAACTAGGTGGGAGTGCAGCAGTGCAACCACTATGCCACCTGCTACTACTGAGAACAAGGTTTTAATATGAACTCTATCCGCATTGCATAATATTCCCCTTTGATATTGCTTGAACTCCATATACATTAGCTAAACCAGAAGAGAAATGTTATAAAATAACCAAATTTCCTCCAGGTGAGCCCTCAGAGTTTACCTGCAGAAGTTTGCACTATTCTAATAAGTCTTTTGCTTTATGAATTGTATTTTAGAAGACATACTTATAAAAATGTAGAAGAGTCCAGAGAACACTTCCTTATTAAGAAAAGAATTTACAAAATTTATGTTACATAAGGATTTATAGAAAATTGTGAGTTTTGTACATATACTTAAGAGTACCGGATCAGACTTATTTTTTTTTTTTTGGAGAGATTTTCACTGTAGGGCACGTGCGCTCGCCAGACAGACAGAGAGAGACATAGAGACAGAAAGCGAGAAATCACCCCCCAGGGGGGATGGTCACGCTGCAATCCCTTCTCCTCCATTCTCCTCTCGGGATCTTGGGCACGCACGCACACGCGCCCAGCGTGAGTTTTAAGCCACCGCGTCTGGGACACGAACCGCGGTCGACTACGTGGGAGTCCAGCGACATAGCCATTACACTAACTGCTGGTTCCCCGGATCAAGTCTGTACTGACATCGTAGGAAAAGTCATTGGCCCTTCCCTCTGATTTTTGAAAAGGAAGTGCTGTACGTGTATTATGAAATTCTGTGCATTGATTTTTTTTTAATTTTGCACCAAAATAAACTCATACTTCAATTCTGTTTTTCCATGTACTTTCTGAAGTCCCCTTGTATTTGGCAGAGAGATTCCTAGGCTGTTTATTCAACAAGATTAATCTCTATCCATGGTCTCTGTCTTCCCTAGTTCCTCGAAACTCTACCATTTCTCAAGAGACTCCAGAGGATGACACCAGAGGAAGATCTGCTTTCCAGGCAGGTTGGCGAAATGATTTGGCGACCAAAGTGAGTATTTCTTTGTGACTTTAAAATGCCTTCTTCATATGTGTGGACATATTTTGTCCTGACTGTGTAACTGCTATGCTCCCAAAAGCCCTAGCTAGGACCTAAGCCTCAATGTTTGTCCTTAGTTAGTGTGGCCTGTTATAGTAGGTGAATGTACTGTATAGGAAATGGGCCTCCATTGCCTTCCTTTGATATGCCTTTTCTTACTTTTTGAGTATAAGTTACTAATATTGTTAAGATGTTAACAAATTTGACCTCCATAGCCAGATAGATCTAGGTGTTAGTTCCTGTTTCTGTCAAACATTCTTAACCCCTGGCATTCAGCTCTAATAACTATAATTTATCTCTTAGGTTATGAGGCTTAAATATTATGAGATGTGTGGTTAGCCTGGATTATAGTACTTGGTCAGTAAATAATAGTTGCTAATTTTATTTTCTCACATTATCAAGTAAAGACCATGTATTGATTAATAAGTCTGTGTTATTTTATTTATTTAAGAGCTTTTTACCATAAGGTGTGTGTGCCGACCAGTAAGAGAGAGAGAGACAGTGAGAAGGAAAGTGAGAAATCACCTCCCAGGGGATGGCCAGACTGCAATCCCTTTCCTATATTGTCCTCCTGGGATCTTGGGCACACACGTACACGTGCCTGGCGTGATTTTCAAGCCACTAGGTCTAGGTCTCGAAACATGGTCGACCATGTGGGAGTCCAGCAATGTAACCACTATGCCATCTGCTGGCCCGAGTCTGTTATTTTAAGGAATAGCAACTCAAGCCACTTCATAAGACAGAAAGAATTGTAAAAATATACATGGCCTGAAATTGGAAAGCCTTTGGCAACCAAGTTAAAATGATTATTTTTATATAATAGAACACTCACCTGGGAAACTTAAGAAAATCAAGGGGAAGACTGTTATGAATGATAATAGAAAAATTGTGTAAATTGACTGCTACTGAAAATGACATGGAAAAATTAATCACTTTCCTACATATACATAAAAATCAGATAGATGGGAACCCAGCAGATGTCATAGTGGTTATGTCAGTGGACTCCCATGTAGTCGACTGCAGTTAAGAGTCCCAGACCCAGGAACCAGCAGTTAGTGTAATGGCTGTCGCTGGACTCCCACGTAGTCGACCGCGGTTCGTGTCCCGGACCCGGTGGCTTAGAACTCACGCCGGGCGCGTGTGTGTGCGTGTCCAAGATCCCGAGAGGAGAATGGAGGAGAAGGGATTGCGGCGTGACCATCCCCCCTGGGGGGTGATTTCTCGCTTTCTGTCTCTATGGCTCTCTCTGTCTATCTGGCGAGCGCACGCGCCCTACAGTGAAAAATCTCTCAAAAAAAAAAAAAAAAAAAGAGTCCCAGACCCAGCGGCTTAAAACTATGTGCATCCAAGATCCCAAGAGGAGAATGGAGAAGAAGAGTTTATGGCTTGGCCATCCACCTTAGGGGTGATTTCTTGCTTTCTTTGTCTCTCTCTCTCTCTGGCAAGCACATGTGCCCTGTAGCAAAAATCTCTCTTAAAAAAAAAAAAAAACTCTCACTTTCTCCACTGTCATGGCGTGTGCAGTCCACTCAGTTCTTAGACATGTCTTCTTACAGCACTTTCAGAATCAAGTGGTCTCTGGACAAAAAACAGAAGCAAAATTGTCCTATTCCCCAGTGGATTAGAATGAAAACTGGTAATAAAATCAGTGTCCAAGAGGAGACACTGGAGAAGAACCAAGCTGGGTCTATGAGGAACTGGACAAGAGATGGCCTATGTATTTATGCTGTACCAAGGTCACTATCGTCTTACCACACCAAGCTGAAAATGGTTACCAGTGCTTGAACACTTGGGGCTGTTTTATTGGAAAAAATGCCTCACTTTCTTTCTAAATTCTGCCTTAGGAGGTCGGTTCAGTAATACAAATGTGAGACCTTTAAAAAAAAAATTAGGTAGATGATAAAAATTAAATAAAAGATTCCATGCAAGTGTCACATTCCTCCACCAAAAAAAAGAAAACACAAAACCTAAAATCTAGAACTAAGCATAGTATAGATTTTGCAATACCTTCATGTCTTATATTATTTGTTAGGATAGGAAAGAAGCCTTGAATATTATAAAACAGTCAGGTTCCCCTAAATTATAAACTCAGTGCAATTTTAAAATCTTAATATGATTTTTTTTTTTTACAGATACAGGTATATGAAAAAATAAGCAATTAAGAGTAATCAAGAATTCTTTATAACAAATATTTTCCAATTTCTGAAATGTATCTAAAAGTATGACAGTTCAAACAGTGGTTATTGTTCAGTTTTTTGTTTTTTTGTTTTTGCGATAGAGTATGTGTGCTCACCAGAGAGACATAAAGTGAGAAATCACCCTCCAAGGGAGGATGGCCACACCACAATTTCTTCTCCTCCATTCTCCTCTTGGGATCTTGGGCATACACACATGCACCCGGTGTGAGTTTAAGCCACCAGGTCCAGGACTTGAACCACAGTCGACTACATGGGAGTCTAGCAACATAGCCATTGTGCCAACTGCTGGTCCCACCAGTTTTTTAAATTAATTTACTTATTTGTTTATTTTATGATCAGTTATTTAATTAGGTTCTTGGCAAAAAAAAATCTAGAACACCAATTTGTGAGGAAAGACTCCATCTTTAAGGGCATACACAGATCACAGGTAGCCCTGGAGCTGAGGAACAGCTTTGATTTTTGGTAAAATTTGCGAATCCACAGCTTTCTGATCCATCTTGCACTGCTCTGAAATCTCGTATTTCTCCTTCTCTGTGTCGAAGATCTCACCTTCTTGGTGTCTGGGATTCCGCAGTTTCTTTTTCTTGAAGTAAGCATTGGTAAAGTGCTTTGGGATTTTTACTTTGCTAATATCAATTTTCGTGGAGGTAGCAATGACAAATTTCCGGTGTGTTCTACGCAGTGGAACTCGATTGAGAACCAGTGGTCCAGTTACAAGTAGCAAGCCACTGCTCAGCTGCTTCAGGAAAACCACTCTCTTGCCTCTGTGGCATCCAGTGAGGATGATCAGAATGGTCCCAGGAGTGATGCTAGCTCACAGCTTTCTCACATGCTGACTGAAGGGTTTTTGCCATGGCTCAACAGCTTTCGAGGCACATCTTCAGTAGGATAATACCTAGGCATTTTGCGTAGTTTAACCACCCAGGCACCACCATTCTCGTCTCCATCAACTGGTTTTGTGACAGTTGCAAGAACCTTCTCCTTTTTCTTTTTGATCCTGGATTTAGTGGCCAAGTATTTCCTCTTATACATGGCCTTCCTGGAATACATGGCAGACCGAGAGTATCTGCCGATGCCCCGGACTAGGACAGGGTTTCGGCTGCAATGGGGCTTCCCCTTCTTGGGCTTTTTAGCCTTGGAGTCACCCTTTTTAACCTTGCCACTGGCATCAGCCTTCTTGGCTTCAGGTTTCTTCTCCTTAGTATCCTGCTTTGCAGCTTTATCGCCTGCCATCGTGTATAGTGGGAAACCAGTTTTGTTTTTTTAAAAGAGAGAAAGATTGTGCATTTCACTATGGAGCATGCAAAAAAAACTTAACATTTTATATTATATAACATGTTGAATTTTTTTTTTATCTTAAAATAATTATTTTATTTAACTTTATTATTTATTTATTTAATCTTATTTTATTTGACCAGAGAGTGACAAAATGAGAGAGAGAGAATGGGAAAGCTAGAAAGCAAGCTGCCGGGTCCAGGACTTGAACCGCAGTTGGTCATGTGGGAGTCTAGTGCCCTTAACCACCATGCCACCTGCTGGCCCAATTGAATTTATTCTTTTTTTCCCCCATTTATTTATTTTTACATTTTCCCACAAACATTTACTTTGCACATCAAAAAAATATTTCTTAGAATTTTGTATAATTTTGTTTGTGACTATAACAACAGAGACAGTATGGTTTTAAATATTTTTGAGAAAATATTTACATGTCAACTACTCAAATTGTTGTAAAGCAAATGCCCAGCACACAAGTCACACATAAACCTTCTCAATTCAGCTCTGCCTACCAAGTATCCTGTGATATACCATCTGCTAGCAAAGATCAGTCTCTTTTTCTTCCTTCAAAGTCTTTCTCAAGATAATCCTCTGGTGTGGTTGCTCTTTTGCAATCTCTACTAATTACAATGCTGTTCTGGAAAAGTCCAGGTTATCTTATGTTATAAATTCTTTCATATATCTTCTCGAATCCTCTCTGCCAGGGCAGAACTATTTATGTGGCCAGTCCATCTTTCTAAGAGCTTCTGTTGGCTTACTTGAGATCCACCTTAGTTCCATAGTTTTTTGTTTGTTTGTTTTTGGAGAAGTGTTTGCTATAGGGAACGTGCACTCGCCAGACGGACAGAGAGACAGAAAGTGAGAAATCACCCCTCATGGGGGATGGCCACGCCGCAATCCCTTCTCCATTCTCCTCTTGGGATCTTGGGCATTCAGGCACATGCGCCCGGCGTGTGTTTTAAGCCACCGGGTCCGGGACGCAAACTGCAGTCAGCTACATGGGAGTCCAGTGACATAGCCATTACACTAACTGCTGATCCCTCTATGTTTAAATTTTAAAACTATTTTTCAAGACAGAGCCACTCATGCATGCACTAAGCCAACTAAAAGGGATACTGTGGGGTCATTATTGACTAGACAGTTATTAGGGTCTATTAAAGCACAAGATTCTGTGATATCACTGTCACCACCATCACACACACACCCAGGGTTATCACTGTCCCCCTTCTCACTAGATTTTTTTTTTCCTTTAGTTTTTGCTATAGAGCATGTGTGCTCACCAGAGAGAAATCACCCCCAATAAGGGATGGCCATATTGCAATCCCTTCTCCATTCTCCTCTTGGGATTTTGGGCACCCACGCATATGCACCTGGCATGTTTTACATGTTGCTGGGTCTGGTACTCGAACCATGCAGCTGACCATGTGGAATCCAGCCACATTAAGCTCCACATCACCTGATGGCTCCCCCACTAGTTCTTGAACTAAGCCAAGTTATATTTAATGTTTTAGGAATCAATGACATTCAAAGATGTAGCTGTGGACATCACCCGGGAGGACTGGGAACTAATGCGTCCTGTGCAGAAGGAACTGTACAAGACTGTGACATTACAGAACTATTGGAACATGGTTTCTCTGGGTAAGGATCATTTGCAACCCTCCTTCTCCCAGCATGCCCACCAGAGTATTTTTCATCCCCCAGTTTTTAAAAATGGCTTGAGTCTCTGAAGTACTTGGCTAAAAATGGGGTTTAGAGATGAGTGTTCTCATCCCATCAGGAACCAGAATGACTGTTCTACTCCCTTTCCCAAGTGGAACATTTGCAAGTGAAGATTGAAACCTGTGATGCACAGCTTAACAGTGCTGCTGCCTGACACTGTATTGCCTACTCTCTGCTCCTCCAAGGAAAGGAAAGAATGCAACCCTCTCGGGTGGCAAGAAGGTTTTATCCTAACTCTGAAAAGGATGACAACCTAATTCTCTTAGTCATGTTCGTTAACTATTCTTTCCC